TGGCCCCATCCATTGATGAATCCTCCTCTACAAAACTGGACCTGTTAAAAATAAACAACATTTTGAAATCGGTGAAAGGTGTTTCATATGTAAGACCTGTTGGATTACGCATCATAAAAGTATTTTTTTCATCCAAAGCAGATGCTAATAACTTCATCATGAATAGCAAACTTCAAAAAAACCCATGGATGGATCGCAAGGATCCCATACGATCATCTTGAGTCACAAGGTATAATTAAAGTGCCTACTGAACTTACTGAAGAACAATTGCTTCAAGAGTTGCAAGCTGACATTGAGATTATAGGGATAAAGAGATTTGAAAGGAAGATGGATAATGTTCTTGTTCCTACCCCTACAGTTTTGGTCACCTTCCTCAGTTCCACTGCCCCTGATCATGTAACTTATGATTTTATATGGTTTGAGGTGAAGAAATATGTGAGACCTTTACAACAATGTTTCACATGTTATAAATTCGGCCATAGTAAAAATTCATGTAAATCAAAACAGGTTTGCTCCATTTGCTCTGGAGAACACTTCTTCAATGTGTGTAACAACCAAGCCAATGTAAAATGTATTAACTGCAAGAGCACAGACCACATTGCTGTTTCTTCTTTATGTCCTATAAAAAAGGCTAAATTAAATGAAATTAAAGATCAAATCAGCGGCAAGTCCACCTATGCCTCAATAACAGCAAAATCTGCTTTTCCTTCTTTGAAACAAGAATCCTCAAGGCCACAGCGAAGAGCCTTACTGTCTGAACTGATTAACTCCGATGAGGTCATAAGTGTTATTACTAAGACAGTGTTAGATATTCTTAAAAAAAAAGATTCTGTTTCTTCAACAAAATCAGATGCCAGCACCTTAGTTTCTTCTAAGGTCATAAAGGAGTTGCTTATTACTAATTTTGCTTCATAATATGGATTTTCAGGGTAATATTAAGCAATTTGTAATCTTCCACTGGAACTCTCGTAGTGTCTTGTCTAAGTTATCTAATCTACAACACTTTATTTCCTGTTCAAATACTGACATCGATATAGTTCTTCTTAATGAAACTTGGCTTACTCCTGACAAATGTTTTAGGATTCCTGGTTATAACATAGTCCGACAAGATTCTAGTCGCCCTCATGGTGGTGTTGCTGTTGCTATTAAAGGTAAGTATAAGTTCTCTACCATCTCTTGTGACAAATGCTATGACTTCCAGAATATTTTATTGTCTGTTTCTCTTGGTTCTTTGTCACTGGATATTTTATGTGTTTACTTGCCTCCTCCTCCAAATGGCAAATTTCAAATTCAACAACTGAATAATGTTTTTTCTAAAATCTGTAATAAAAATTATATCATTGTAGGCGATTTTAATGCCCATCATATTGCTTGGGGTTGTAGAAACGTTGACAGAAGAGGCAATTTAATCTATAATTTTGTTGATACTCATAATTTAGTATGTTTAAACGATCACACTATAACGACCTTTGCTCCATTTGGTCAACAAGGCAATGTACTCGATTTAGCTTTTGCTTCTCCATCAATTAGTTCCAGCTGTACACTTTCAGTATTAGACGATCTTATGAGCAGCAATCACTTCCCTCTACTGGTTAGTTTGTTTTACAAGGAATGTGTGCAGAGCCATAAGCAGTCTTCAACTCACTCTGCCGCTCCAACCACTCCCTCTATACACTGCCTAGCTAATCTCAATTATAATAAAATAGATTGGTCGAAATTTCATGATTTATGTACACACAAATTCTCAACTTTTACTATTAATCCGGATCCACTCGTTGCGTACACTGACTTTATTCAAATCTTAGTTGACATCTTACTGACATTTCATACAACGAAGGCGATGTTTTGCCATAATAAAAAACGTCAACCGTTGCTTTGGTGGAACGATGTTTGTAGTCAAGCTGTTCAACAAGCTAAAATTGCTCTTGATTCATTTAGGATTTATCCATCTCAAGAAAACTATCTTTTATATAAACAATTTGATGCTAAGAAAAAGAAAACTCTTTCCGAGCAAAAAGCATTAGGTTGGGCCAACCTTTGCTCTTCTTTCAACCGCATGACTTCCACTAAACTAATTTGGGATTATATTCGCAAATTTAAATTTGCTAAGCTCCGTACCAGCTCTAAATCTCACTTTTTTGACGATACTAAAAATATTATGATGTTTCTAGATAAAATAACTTCTTCGTCACTTACTTGTAATTTTTCTACTCATTTACAATATTTATTTTTTAATAACAGCTCTAGTTCAACACAATGGTTGACTGATCCATTTGGATTTCATGAGCTACAAGCTGCTTTACTGAATAAGAAAAGTAGTTCTCCAGGACCAGACTATATTACTTACAAAGTTATTCAGTGTTTACCCTTCCTGGCTAAAACATTTTTGCTAGAAATTTATAATAGGCTTTGGAAAAAAAGTATTATACCTCCGGATTGGAAAATCCAGTATGTAGTTCCTATATTAAAACCTAATAAAGATGCTAATAGCTTAGATGCATATCGACCTATTTCTTTAACTTCATGTTTTTCGAAATGCTTCGAAACTATGCTTAAAAACCGTCTTGAGTGGTTCGTGGAAAATGGTCAACGCATACCTGACTTTCAATTTGGGTTTCGCAAAGGGAAGAGCACCTTGTATAATTTAGCTTGTTTGGTAGGTGATATTAAAAATAATTTTGTGAGTAATAAAAGTACTTTGGCTGTTTTTTTGGATATTAAAGGAGCTTTTGATAATATAGATCATGAATACCTAATCAAAAGTTTATCCCATCTAAATATACCAGGTTTAGTTTTACGTTGGATTTTTAATTTCCTTAACGATAGAAACACGTTTATTAAATATAAAAATAAATTGTATGGCCCCAGGAGTTCGTTTAAGGGAACTCCTCAGGGTTCAGTTCTTTCACCGCTTATTTTTATTTTAAGTCTTGTGGGTTTCATGAAGCGGATTCCTGATTCTGTGCATTACTCTTTCTTTGCAGATGATCTTGTTGTTTATCTAAGTTGTGATAATCCCAATAAAGGGCAAGATGACATGAATGAATGCTTACGAATCATTAATGACTTACTTTCTACTGATTTAAAACTTGAAGTCAATATTGCTAAGAGTTCTGTAATTTTATTTTCCAGGAACGGACCTTTTGTCCCAAAAATTTATTATAATAATTATTTATTGCCATTTCAACACTCAGAAAGGTATCTTGGAGTAATTTTAGACTCCAGTTTATGTTGGAAAGCTCATATTGAGAATATTTGTAAGAGAACTGAATTGGGTTTGAATATCCTCAAATCTTTGATTGGTGTAAATTGGGGTTCAGATCCCAAAACGTTAAAAATGTTATACATTACAACCATTCGCAGTCATTTTGATTATGCTTGTATGTTTTATTCTGATGCCGAAATGCACCTCCTTAAAAAGTTAGATATTATACAAAACAAAGCTTTACGTATTATAACTGGTGCCATGATGTCATCTCCCATCAACTCGCTTGAAGTTGAATCCGGAATTGTACCATTATGTATCAGAAGATCTTATCTAACTGATAGATTTTGTTTACAATTAGTAAGTCGAGATAACGTTATCGTTTCAAAATTTTTAGAGAATTACTCTGCTCCTAATTTCAACGAAGCTTCCTTATCAATTTCTACCACATTAAATAACTCTATAGCATATTTAAATTTTCAATATCAGGATGTTGTGCATTGGTGTCATAATATACCCTGTTATAACTTTCAATTCCTCAGTTTAGTTATAGACATTCCTATCAATATCACACGCTTTGATAGTAAATTCGATTTTTATGAGTTTTTGGATGGCATGAGAGATTTTCACAAGATATATACAGATGGTTCCAAAACAGGAGACAGAACTGCATTTGCTTTTTACGATGCTGATTGTCGTTTTGGTAAAGTATTTGAATGCAATTCCTTATTTTCTATTTTTTCAGCTGAGGTGTTGGCACTGATTTATGCACTTGTTTACATTAAACAGAATCACACATATAAAAAATATTTAATTTTAACTGACTCAATGAGTGCTCTTCTGGCTTTGTCCAACAAATTAATTAGTGCAAATTGTAATTATTTGATATACTCTTTAAGAAGTCATATTTTTAATTTAATGTGTGATAATGTAGTTGTACAGTTTTGTTGGGTTCCTGGTCACTCCGGTATTTTAGGAAATGAATTGGTTGATTCTCTTGCTAAGTCAACTGAGAATGTTGAATTTTGTAATTTTAAAGTTCCTTTTACCGATTTACATTTAGCTGTTAAAGAAATAATGTTCATCCGGTGGTCCATGTCCCTACACATTTCTAGAAGCATCAAAGGTAAATGGTTGGCTGAGATTCAGCCAACACCTTCAACAAAGGCTTGGTTTGAAAAAAATACTACATATTTAGGAAGACAATATATTACTGGACTGTGTAGGTTACGCATTGGCCATTGTAAATTTCCTGCTCATTTAAATAGACTTAAGTTAATATCCAATCCTTCTTGCTTGTTTTGCCATAGTAGTTTTTCTGATTTAGATCATTTATTTTTTGTTTGTCCCAATTTTAATTTACAACGTTTACTTTTCATAGCTCAATGTAAAGACATTTTAAAAAAAGATTGTTTATTTCCTAGTACTGCCCAGGAGCTTTTACAGCATTTAGAGTTATATAAATTTATTGATAGTTTTGTAAGTCATACTTTTGGCCATATTTAAGTTTTATTATTTTTTTATTGATTCGTTCGTGTTTATATTTTTAATCCTCTGTAAATAATTTATTCTATTGTTTAGTTAAGGTTTAGTTTTAGTTCATTCACTTTTATTGTAATACATTTTTATTTAGTTATCTTTTTAAGCTGATGGCCTTGAAGCCAATGCTTAATAAATAAAAAAAAAAAAAAAAAATGTCTGTGGTTTGGTTACTGAAAAATTGACAATTCATTTTGTTGCTGATTGTGAGATCGCAATTTTTTTCGCGTTTTATTTCAAAACAAAACAGCTTTCAAAGTGTTTCTTATTCAGAAGATGACTTCGACACTCCCAGCCGATAAAAACGAAGAACGCCGACGCAGGGTCAGTTAATTTGTTGTATTTACAATTTGTACGCAATTTATATTGTAGTTCTGAACATTCATACTGGCATGAATCATTCTTTTCTCGGCTGAAATGTAGCCACAAATGGGATCAACTTTACAATACCATAATGTATAAATACCCGGTGCGATCTGTAATCCCGAACTCGAATGTTTTTGTCACTCAGGCATGGTACACAACATACAAGAGTCTAGAACAATTCCAGCAATTGTATTTTGTTATGGAAAATTTATCATTCCTTTGCAACCTAAGTAGGTCGATAAACTCAAATTAGAGTTGAGTCGAGAAAGGGCACTGATGAAAAAATAGTTCAGTATTTTTGTGGCTTTATTTTTAGTTTCGGCAGTCGTTACACGTAAGTAAAAAAATGCACAAACAAGTTTACCTCTTCATTTACTTAGTAAAATAATAAAAAAATATTTGTCTCCACAAATTTTAGGTACAATTATTTTGCTGGAAACTAAACTAGATTAAGAAATCTGTTGTCTTTGATTTTCAGGAAAAATAATAATAATAATATTAATAATGCACACACTCAACATAGCCTTGCACTAAGGTTTACACATAGACAATCTTAAATTACACCCAAACTCCCAAGTGAAATAAATGTAGGCCATACAAATATTTCTCTTGGCCCGAGAATCGAACCTGGGACCTCTGCGTGGCAGTCCAACATGGTAACTGTTCGACTCGGAGGCAGTTATACACATATATATCTGTACCTGAGAAGCATTACACTGTAAGTGCTATTTTTGTAATTTTACAGGGGATGCAATTTTGTATCGAAATGCAGCATGGACAATATTTAGAATAGCTTGATGTGAAACGAATTGAGTTTTAATAATATTTTAGGCTACCCTAATTGTCGTACAAACTGCTTTTCGACACAAAATTGTTTTTCCCATACAATTACAAAAATGATGCTTACAGTGTAATGCTTCTCAGATACGGAAATATTTCAGTTGTTTTTAAAAGTACTTACTTTTCATTGTAATTATATGAAAATAATCCCTAGGTAGGTACAGTTGTTATCATGATTTTATTCTTATCTATGATTCATTGGTTTTATCCCTTACATACATTTGATATGATATTGTAAATGTATTTGTTAGTTGCATAATATAAATAATGATCATTAACTTGTAGTAACACAACAACACAGGATTTTATAAATGAAACAAGGATAATAATTGTAATTTGTCATTAGTAACTTCAACTTATTTAGCAGTGGAAATAACTGTGTAACAAGAAGTGATAGGGTGGACCGAATGACTATTTATTGTTGACTCGAAAGTTTACAGAAACTATGGTCTTAATAATACAGGTGTTGCTGGGTCCCCTTCCAGCAGGATTTCTGCGTGCAGACGGTGTTAACGACACCATGGATGCAGATTACCAAGCTGCATTGGCTCTACAGCAACAGCTCTGTGGGGCTGCCGTGAGTTCTACTTTTATTTACTCTTTAGAAATATAGTTAAATTTATCTGGTTCTGATGGACGACATAAAAGGATTAATTTGGGTGTATTAACACAAATGTGGCGAGCGCAACTAAAATACTAGCATGTATGTGTGATATACAGTCAGATTTTATTGTTAACATATTGTTAAGTGGTCCTTAATGCGTATAAAAGAAAATACAGGGACATTCTTTTCACGCTCTTTACTAGCAGTGGAGCTCCTTGTGAAACAGCTCGTCCAGGAAAGTACTGCATCCTTATCTACTCTGCCATCAAACTGTAATGGACTTGCATTCCAGTTTTGAAGAGTAAGGGTGCTGGTGAAATTACAGGCACTTGTACTTCAACTTATGTCTTAGGGTGACAGGCGCAGTGCCCCTCATATGTTGGTGATTTCAAGCTCTCGAGAGGAACTGTTTGTACTGTTACTTGATATCATAATAAAAATATGCTTGATCACATTATACCTTTGCATGTTACTACTTTGTAGATTGTTTCAGCACTATCCTCAACATATATGTTTAATTTCTCAGATGCCAACAGCTGGCCCTCCTTTGACAGCAAGGCTAAGCATCACAATCTCCCAAGCTAAGCTGGTGAAGAATTACGGTAAGTAACATTTTTAACAAACCCACCAGATACAGCATGGTTCCCATATAAATTCAAGACTTCTGAAATATATTTTGTGTGTTTTTGTCTATAGTCTGTCTTTTTTTAAGACTGCGTAAAATGATATTTGTAGGGTTGCCAGTTTACATAAAATGTTAAATAAGAAAGTTATGTAGTTGTTGTTGACAGATTGTGAAACATAAAATTTTGCCAAAAATGACTGGTTTGTGAATGTCATGACGTTCTACTGCTTGCTACTAATTGCGTTATTGCCTTCTTTATTCTTATTTTATCAGTTGGCCTACTAGTATTGAGATAAATTTTTATTCATATACATTTTAAGAAGAATGGCCGGATTCGATTATCTATATCGAATTAAAATGAAAAACTTTAAAATATTTCTCCTTTTTGCGTTTTTCATAAACATAGTTCTAAATAAATACATTACATGTGTGTATGAACTTACAAAAATTGACATTTCAAATAAATTTGTGCTCAGTAATTATATAGTATTGATGAATAATTGGTCGAGGATGATTCAAATTAAACAAGTTTATTTTGGCTATTTATTTATTCCATAAGCGTGACCAATATTCAGTCGATAGTCGATAGAATATTTATTGACTGCAATCACTAGCTGCTTGCAAGCGGGCAAATTCAAGGTATAAAAATGTGGTCACTACCATTATCTATACAATTTTTTATACCTATATTGTGCCTTGGTCGAAATGGTTCAAAATGTTTATGCATCAATTATGAACATAAATTCTTTTAATTTTTTTTCCACAATAAAGGAATAAACAATTTTCTTGTTCCATATGCATAACTAAGCCTTTAAACCGACATATTAAGTAATATATGCGAAATATTTATCGCATTTTATTCGGCTATTAGCACGTGATTTGTTTAAGGTCTTGCACGCTATAAACACGGTTTTGTGCCTCATTGGAATAGGAATGTATGTACTCGTAATATTGTGTTTTAAGTAGCTGGGCGGCTATTTTGGAGAATAAATAGATTAGAACCAATTATTTATAATTCTTATGTTTTCAATGCTATAAGTTTATGCGAGTTAATTTTTCAATTTTCGTCCATTACAGTAAAGCTCAAGTTAAACTTTTGAGTTTATCGCGATCAGACAGACAGACAGACAGACAGACGTAGTCATGTAGTGATTGTGCATTACATTATAGATAAGTAACATATCGCACTGTTAGGATAATAGTGTATTAACTCAGAAAGTGTATTTTTTCAGAATCAATGAAAAACGAATTGCTTCCTTCCTTGAAAGACTATTGAAATTTATGTAGAGGTTAAAGTTTATTACAGACATTTAAACAATTTTCTACTTACCAAATATATTTATATTTTTCGAGTAAGTTCTTTACTCATAAATATGAATTTGCTTTTTATTTACTAGCTCACAAAAAGTTAGTCTCATTCTGAGTCAAGTGGAGATCTTTTAATTGTCTCATCAATATTTTAACGACGGTTATATTGCCGTGTAGATAATAAAATTTTACGTTCAAAAATGGTGTAATCTTGAATTTCACATATTTTGAATTAGAACATTATTGTAATAACAGTGCGATATCTATCTATGTTTTATATATAAAATGTACAAGTGATTTAGGAAGATTTTTGTTATACGATGCGGTGCAGTGCTGCCCGCCATAATGCGCGTGAGCCTTTACAATATTTAGGTGCTTTGAGTTATTTGTTGTTATCATCAGTGAATTTTTTGTCGCCATTGGCCGCCCCTAAATCCTGGCCGCGCTAGGTCCGAGCCTACTTGGCCTTAGGGCAAATCCGCCACTGCGTATTAACAACAATAATAATCAGCATTTTATTATTATTATTAATTGGCATATTTATTTTAGACATTTGCCTCATTATATATTATTATGTGTTTTCTTTACTTTTCTCGGTTGCGGTTTCAACTACATTTGCGGACAAAATATTTATTATTACACAAATGGCTACGTATGTAAAACAATAAAGATTATATGACTCATACTGACTAAATAGTTATAGTTGACGAAATATTATTTGCACCGATTCGTCTTATCGCTCCATCATACGTATAAGAAAAGAATACTTTATTGTGTAAGTCTGGGTGCTTACACATGATCTTCAAATTAAAATACACGTGCCATCTGTATAGTGCTGCTTAACTTGACTGCCTCGGTGGCCTAACGGTTACGATGCCGGACTGCCACGCAGAGGTCCCAGGTTCGATACCTGGGGCGGGAGAAATATTTGTATGGCCTACATTTATTTCTCTCGTGAGTTTGGGTGTAATTTGTGGTTGTCTATGTGTGTCCGTGGCACCCGCGACACAGGGTTTCCCTAGTGCAGGGCTATGTTGAGTGTGTGCGTTATTACTATTACTAGTATTAGTGCTTTGCAAATAACTTGTTTAAACACTTTTACGCTAATATATTTAATTCTAAACTTCGTAATCTTTATGCAGCACTAACTTTGCTGAATTAGTAAGAAAAAAGTTAGCTGTCGGTATTTTACGAAGTATTAACTGGTTTTGGTTGTAGAATTCAGAAAATGCGCTAAATGCATAAATTAAACGACCTCCGTGGTCGAGTGGCTTGCACACCGATTTTCATGGTGTCGCCATTTCTGAGGTCCCGGGTACGATCTCCAGTCAGGTCAGTGTAGAAAGCTAACTTCTCTATATTGTCTCGGGTCTGGGTGTTTGTGGTACCATCGTTGTTTCCGATTTCCATAACACAAGTGCTATAGCTACTTACTTTGGGATCAGAGCAACGTATGTGATGTTGTCTTATATTTATGGTTCCTACGAATGACCAAGATCATTAAGTCCATGTACGTTTTAGTAAAGGAAGTGTTAATGGTTTTATTACTGTATTATAAAGGATAAGGCGTTCCAAGAGATAATATTTCTTCAACTATATCAACATTTTATTATTATTAATTGAGACGTCTAATTAAGGGTCGTATTCCAGAACTCTACTCAATGCTCAAGTCAGGATCTGAATATGATTTCAAGCACTGGAAATACGACCGTAATGGCAGGGACTTGAGTAGGATTTCGAGTGCTTTAAACCATACTCAAGTCCTGACTTGAGTATTGAGTAGAGTTCTGGAATACGACCCTCAGTGTCGTAGTGCAGTGAGCACTAAAATCATACACAAGTCCTTGCCATTAGGGTCGTATTTCCAGTGCTTGTGTTGCCAGTGCAAACCTGACTTGAGCATTGAGTAGTGTTCTAGAATACGACCCTTAGACTCTCGTGTTATTATTATGTGTCTTCTTGAAATGAGAGCTTTGCGCAATATGTGCGGTATTAGTCTTAAAGATCGAATGCCGAACAGTATATAGTAAGAGAGCGTTGTGGTATGAAAGATGATGTAGTGACAAGGAAAGAGAGAGGGATGTTTCGATGGTTTGGTCATGTAGAAAGAATAAATGTTGTTGACCGCGCAAATTTGTAGAGCGAATGTGGATGGAAGCGTGGGCAGAGGTAGACCTCGGCGAACATATCTTAGTCAGATTGAGGATGTCTTTAAAAAAGGCTGGGTTAAAAGTACCATAGTCTCTGCCTACCCCGGTGAGAGACAGGTGTGATGATATGTTGTTGTATATCGCACATGACAAGTAACATTGTATTATTTT